TTTAGGTATCTGAATTTCATATATTAACTTTAGGCAGTTCAGTGATGTCTTGTAGGGCATCCCGACTCAAACCTAATATATCAAAGTGACTTCCTGCTTCTTTCTGATCTCTGCTCAGCACCTGAAACACAGCGAGGGCAGTACCAAGCAATGTCAAGCACAGTGAGGGAACTAAATACACAACTTCCAGAATGGGTTGACTTTCACGTTTAACAGGTGTGGTGCTTCAGCTGATGCAGAACAGCAGCTTTCCAGCAACTCTAATACATCAACATAGTTCCTTCTTTGGATTTGTACTAGCTCTGTCTTTTGTATGGAAGAAGATATGAATGAAAGAAATCAGTTTTTAAATGGTTACTTGCTTGCTTTCTGGCATTTTGGAGAACAGTTTCTTCTTGTTCTTTTAATTCCCCTTTAACTATTTTGGAGAGATTTTGTTATGGCCAAATAATGCAATTGGCAGAACACACTGGGCACCTTATTATAAAAGTAGAATTTTTTTTGAAAGAGAATTTCCATTTTCACCCTGAATAACTTTTCAAAAAGGCCAATATTTAGAGTAGCAGTTGAAGAGCGCTCTCTAGTCTGCCACGGTAGCAGCTACATTTTATTTTATTTCAGTTCTGACACGTTGATGTTTGGCATTTGTAGGATTTGAGGGATAATCATATTTAAGGAATTATGCCCTTAAAAAATATATATGTGTGTTTTCATTGCTACTGGCAAGGAGTGTGTTAGTGATATTCATTGGTACAATTCCAGTATTGCAGACTGAATGTCATTAGTGGTTTTTTGTTTGTTTTTTAAGGCAGGAGAAGTTGCTGAATGGATTTTCCCGCTTGTATTCATATGATATCTTATTTCAGTAGGAGTACACAATTCTTGGTGGATGATATTTTTGCGTGGTTTTAGGCTGCTGTGCTGTCTTGAGGTATGTTGGAAGGACACTGTGGTGATAGGGAAGTTGCAAAGAAATTCTTATTCCTTTCATGGCTGTGTTTTTTAGAGGTGAAAATATATCCCATTTTAACATCCTTTTAAATTCATCTAAAGGATGTGATAAAACACACCAAGAAATGAAGATTCAGGGACAGGGTGACCATCTGTATCTTGGTCTCTTTGTCTCAGAACTGCAATATAATGACACTGCATTGATGTGCTAGACTTATGACTTGAATAAAGGTCTCATAAACTTCTCCTTAAAGGTATGAAAAAAGGGGAAAAAAAACCCAAACCCCTCCCAATTTTTCAACTTTGTCCCTGTCTCTCTCTCTTCAGGAAGGGAGGGGTATAATGCTTGAAGAGCATCCACTTGGGCATGAGTCATTAATGGCTAGGCTTCTTCTATTGCACAAGCAGGTTGAAATGTTTAAAATAACTTTTTTCTTAGACCCTGCTTATTTCAAGCACCTGTTTAATGCCTTTGAAGCTGAGGTGTTGGTTTCTTGAACTGCCTTGCATTCCTTATTATCTTCTGTTATTTGTTAGTATTTCGATGGGATCTATAATTTTGTTACTGGTAGAGTCTCTGTGGTGGAGGTGACCTGAACCTGATCTGTGAATACTCCTTCTCTAAATATCCCGTTACTATGGCTTCTCTCCCCAAAATGCTGCATTGCTACCTACCTTTTCTTGTTCCTTTACTTCTCCAAAGTAATCTTAGATTTATTCTACTTCCTTCCCCAATGTGCTTCATCTAATTCTGTTGACCAACACATATTACACCTTAAACCAGAAGTGCAGTGTTGCCTGTCTGACTGCCCTGGCCTCTAGCTGTACGCAGAACTCTTCTACATGTCTTTTTATTTCCAGGAGAAATCCACAGTTTTGTTTAAGACTCTCCGTTGACTTACTCTAGCCTGACACGCATACCTTGAGTGGGATCCAGGCTGCACTAGGAGCTTACATTGAACGAGTGATGTATGCACATGACTCCATTTATGTATACAGCCTGTTCAGCAATATTAGAAGGGAAGGTGTTATTTAATCTTTTCCACTGTTTCCCTTCACTTTGAGGACTTTTAATTTTGAATCCTGAAATACTACCATTGGATTTCTGGGAAGCACTAGGAGAGCTCCCTGGTGCAACTGGTGAATCTTTCTCACCATTCTTTTGGGGGACTCCAACTTTTACCAATGACTGGTTGGCTGATTTGTTTTTTCCTTTTATTTTTTATTGCATTTATAGCTTGTTTTTTTTGCCTCCAGAATTGTGCTTGTTTTCATTGTCTTCACTCAGGGTCATGTATTGGAGATTATATTGCTTCAGTTTGAGTCATTGAATTACAAATATTTTTTCATACTGCGTAGAACTTGATGCAGAAGATTACGATTCCTGAAGACTAGCAACCTAATTTCTTTTTGATCTTACTGAATTACCATTTGAAATGTAGTGATCTTCTGTTGGTCATGACTGTACCAGCAGAAACCAAATCTGGTCTTCAGGCAGCGCTTACTTTATTAAAGTTTACTGCTTTTTGGGTGAGCATTCTGTTCTGGGTCCTGGATGTCTCGTAGTGTACGGCATTTTATCCACTGTTGAAGAAAGGCATCGTCCAGTGTGTTTAGTATTTCATCACAGGAGGATCTATAGGGTGTTTTCAAAAGTACTATTACTTAAAAGTGCTCATGCCTAACAAACCAGGAATTTCCATGACTACTTCTAAGTGCAAGCAGAGAAAAATAGTAACGGTATTGTGCTGCCTGTGATACTCCTGATCGCCAAGGTGTTTCAATTTCCACTCTTCCTTTTCTTTGTAGTCTGCCAGCTGTGTTGTTTCATGTGTATCTGCATTCTTGTGGCAGACTTTTTTATTAAAAAAAACCCCAAAAAACCCAAAAAACAAGAACCACCAAAGAAGAGAGTAAACCTTTACTTTTGGTGATTGGTGTTTCTTCTGCTGAAGCTCTAATTTTACCTTTCTTATGCTTATGTGACAGAAGAACAGGGACTTGATTTTTTATACCCAAACCACTAAATATTTTTTCTACAGCTCAGGAATCTGCTGTTTACTTTAAATATAGAATTACATCATTGCAGTAAACCAGAACAAGAATGGAGCTGAACTATGGAAATGATTTTTGGTCTGCAGCGGCTTCCGGCAGGAAATACACATAAGCAGTTAAATTTATTGTAGCTAAATAAAGTAATATTAAGGAGGATGCTCCTCAGTTGTTTGGTAATCAAAGTACTGAGCATACTCAGAATACGCTATTGATCTGTGTTAGGGGATTGCAGTATTCAGGAAAAACAAGAGCTGTTGTCTCTGGGTTTTTTTGGGGAAAGTTACTTATCTACCCTACAAAATAAAGTCTTAATTTTTTTAATATCAGATTATCTACACAAACTACACCTGGGATATTTGGAAGGTTTTCTTTTATTTGGAGACTGTGCTTCAATTATGATAGTATGCCTTCCAAATGCCTTCAGCTAACGTTAGTCCTCTCGTAGGGCTACCCCAGTCGATATTCTAAAATACATTGGGATTTGTTGTGAAGACACTTCTCCCATTTCCTTAGCAATTATTGGAACAAAACTACTTATACATAAATCTACCAAGACTCTGAAGGGCCAGCACCTCCAATATGAAGAATTTCTATACTATACTTTTTTTTTTCCTCCCTGTCATTTTGATAAGGAGATTACTGAAACTATTCGAGGTAAAATTACAGTCAAGTATAGCATAAAAGTATTGCAGCACTGGGATTTCATTTAAAGATAAAAGCTTGAAAAAATTCTTTTGAATACTTTTAACATTTGCTTTAGCTATATGTGTTGAATGTTTAGGGTATTAATGGCACATAATTTTAAAGTTGTGTAGAGTGACCAAAGCAGAAAATGGAGAAATACTTTCCTAGGTCCTTAAAAAAGTTAATCTTTGCAATCAAGACTTGCTACGTCTTGATTTAGGCAAGATGTCATGGGATTTGCTTGTCATCAAAATAAAAGATTGATAAAGCCTAATGCTATTATATATATAAAAATATATGTAAGTGCTCTGTGAGTTATGAAACTTAGTGAAATCTACTGTCATCTGAGTTTAAGTCCTATAACCCCAATACTTTTCTTGCTTTCCTTTCCATTCATTGTCTCTTGCTGCTATTGCTGTAAGCCCACCTTCTTACCATGTCCTCTGTCACCTTGCGTCACCTTCAGTTCCTCCTGTTCCTATCTACAGACTCATCCTTCCTAGATACCGTCTAGGTGAGATGTACCCAATTTGCCTGGGTTTCCACTATTAAGATCCTGTAAGGTACCACTGATCCTCGAGCAAGTCTTCATAACAAATTTGGTATTTTCAGAGTTTCCTTTTAGATGTAGCACATTGAACTAAAATGTAGCAATTAATGAGCAAACAAAAACCTGTGGTTTATTCTGCCTTTGTTCTGGTCATGTGCCAGTTGTGTTCCTTATCCATATCTAGCAACAGGTATACTCAAGAAAGACTAAATATTGAAGGCAAAGACTATTTTCTTCACAAAATGGCTTAGTACTGTTCACTTGGTAAGAATAACTGTTGGTGTGTTTTCACAGAATATGAATATGAGGTGCAGACTCATGCTTTAGTTATTTCACAAGAGATGATTTAATGGATAGTGATAGTCATAATTGGAGAGGAGGAGGAGAGGACCAAAATAAAATATAGGATAATATATGATTTAAAAAATTATGTGTCTGTTTAAAGCTGAAGTTATGTCAGAATAATATTGAAATCCCTAGCCCTCAAGTTGAGATGGAATATAGTAATATACTCTTCTCACTGCTGTCACACTTCTATATTTTAATACCTGTGCTGTCTAAGATTGTGTGTGACTGCTCTCAGGAGATGTACCTGATGATTGCATGTGCTACAGATACTGTATGGAAGGAGGCAATGCTACTGCTTACAAACTTTATGCTTTTCGCAATAAAGGATACTACAAAGAACTAAGTATTTTTTTCTTGATTTATTTTTTTTTAAGAATATATATACATGCAATATTTCTGTGTATCTTTTCAGCTAATGGAAAAGACTGACAGAGAGTATTACACTCTGGATGACATGTTTGTTTCCAAAGCAGCCAAAAGAGCACGCAGTGGGGAAGAGGAAGAAATGCAAAGAAGAAAGGCAATACATGAGCACCAGCAGCTTGCTGCACGCATGGAAAAGTGCCCATACTGCTTTGATAGCAGTGAACTTTCTAAACATCTTATTATTGCAATTGGCACCAAGGTAAGAAAATAGCAATTTAACACAAATGTAAAAATAAAAAAAGAAATAAAGGAAGGCAGTGTTGATGTTGGAATGCCTAAGATTAAGAATGAAATTGCTTCTATGAAATTATTTATTGTTCTGCATCTTATTTTCCTTGTCCTTCCAGTTGATTTCACAAATTCCTCAGGGGTGAGGGAGAAAAATATATAAATCTGTCATGAATTTTAAAGCTAATCTTTGATATCAGAACTTCACACTTGCAGATTTGTGGAAGACAGGAGCAATAATGAAAGATCCAAGTGCAGAGATTAGACTGTAGGTAGATTTGTCGAAGACTAAATCACACTGCACTGGAGGAACTTTGAACTGGTGAAGAACTGTATCTGAATGATATCAAAGAAAATTAAGTGGAGAATTCAATTTTTAAGCTTAAAATCCTTTTAAATAGACAGAAATTTAGTTTGGGGAACCTTCCTGTTTCTGTTAATGCTTTTAAAAGTTGCATAAATATTTGGATTTATAACGTCTGAAATGCTTCAGTATAGGCTTTTTTGTCATTCGTTCTCCAAAGTTTTCATTCATTATTGATGTTTTTAGTTTGATTTGAAACTTTTTATAGGCCAAGAAATTAAATGCATTGATATGTATTACAGTACATTGCATTTATTTTTTATATATGTACATAATATATATTCAGGTTTTGTTCACTTTTTATAGGTATACTTATCTCTGCCAAGCACCCAGTCCCTTACTGAAGGTCACTGCCTGATAGCCCCTCTGCAGCACCATACTGCAGCCACTCTTTTGGATGAAGACATCTGGGAAGAAATCCAGGTCAGCTGAGAAACTGTCCTGTGTTCTAACAGTTTTGTAAAATAATGTTTCGAGTAATAATATACCTGTCATAAGTACCTATTTTTATCATTTCCAGCCTGGCAACTCTTTTCTGATTCCACTAAGGGGCAGAATATTCTCTCATTCTGGATGAAAATTAGTGGTCAAATATTGAAAAAGGGAGATGCGGGGTAAACACTGAAGAAAAGTTCCCATTTATAAGCACTAGAAAAAGTTGCCTGGAATGCTGCAGAACCTCTGTCCTTGGAGGTCTTTGAAACCAGGTTAGAGGAACATCCATCAAGGATGATGTAGGTACAGCTGATCCCTTACAGAAAGTGGAATAACTGCCTTTGCAGTTAGGATTTCCTTGGGAGTGCCAAGGAAAAGAAAAGGATTGTCAGGGCAGAAAGATCACTTATAATGAAACTCAAACTGAAGATATGGTTGTTTACATATCTTCAGGTTTTTTAAGCTAATCAGGGCTTTAAGTGGATGTCAGTTGAGAGAGAACTGTCTCATTCTTCTTCAATAAGGTCCCTGTTAGAATCCAGTTTCCTACCTTTTTTGAAAAGAATTATTAGAATAAAGTGCCAAGCATGATGGGTCATGCTTTCCAACTCTCTTATGAAGACATTTTGAAGGTTTTGAGTTCTGTTTTCTTTGGAAAAAGAAAATCAAGGGAGGAATGTAACAAACTTCTGCATAAGAGATTGACTGTGATTGTCAATCCCCCTCTCCTCTGCCATCAGGATTATTACAAGGGGAAAACAACTTGCAACCTCATGTATCAAAATACTGGACGCTATTTCAGACCAGAGAAAGGCTTCGTTGCTTTGCATAGATTTAAAAACAGGTTAATTCATGATTTTTGAAATGGTTTAAATAACGTTGGTCTTGCCTCAAGCCTGGCAGATGGATTCTTTGAATTTCCAAATTTATTCCCCACATTGATTCGCATAGCTTATGTAATTTTTATACAGTGTTTCCTAGTAAGTTATGCTCCCGCCCAAGCAGGAAGGGGAAGAAGTTCTTTTGTATATGACAGAGATACCTGAGAAAGTTGGATAAGAAGCACATCAGTGCAACAGGTAGGATCAGGAGGAACAACAGAGCATGGGAAAAGTGAAAAATACGTTTATTCTATATTTTCTATTTATCCTAACCTCTTTTAACTAAATAGATGGTAATTTTTCTGAATTTGTATGAGAAGGAAAATAGGATAAAGAAAAGATAAGCAAATGCAGTTCCTGTATTCAATGCTGGTCTTTTCCTTCCTAAAAAATGCAACTAAAACCATTATCCATTGACCCTGTGAATATATCCATAGACAGTTTAAACATTTCTTTGCAACAAAGTACTTTGGGAAGTGAGGGACACAGATTTCCCCCCCCCTCCCCAGCTTCTATGTAATTCAGTAGGAGGAGTCTGGAAGGCTTTAGCAGGAACATAAGCATACACTTACTCAGTAACTAAACTAACTTTCTGATGCCAGAGCCATATTTTGTATTGCTGTTGAGGGGAAAAAAAATTATCACACTTTAAATAGCCATAAAATGTTGTATTGATTACATGTTTTAGCTAACTGTTTTTGCTGGGGTATTTTTTTTAAGATATGTTGGAATAAAGCAAGAAGAGTTCTTTTATACTGTATGCCTTCAAGCACTTGGGTTTGACATATTGTGTGTTTTAGACTGATGCGCTCGGTTGCCAAAGTAAATATGCATGTAATTTTTTTTTTGATATGAAAAGATATAAATCTTCGCATGTTCTGTATTGACTGAGCTGTTACATGTATCAATGTCATGTTCATCCGAGCATAAGTCAAGCCCTCTTATTTACTGTTATGAATGGCTTTGTCATTTCCAGTGCTAATTATCCTTCACCTTTTGTCCCACTCAGAATTTGGAGGACAAGGGCAATGTATTTAAAAACAAGAAGGTGCAGACTGGGAAACATTAACTACTATCTGCAGATATTCTAGACTTTTCAATGGATTTGTATTTCAGTTGATATTGCAGGGTAGCAACTAGAAGTAATAGTCTTTCCCAACCTGTGGTTTAATGTTTCTCTTATCTCAGCCCAGTTGCTTGCTTTGGTGTATTTCAGAAATAAAGGTTTGGGGCCCTGGGTGAGGGGGAGAAGACAACAAGCTATTAATGAAGAATTGTCTGTTGTTCTGTGCAGTAGAATCCCATATCGGTCATGGTACGGTGATCCATTCACTGGGCAATATCAAACAAAATTGTATTAGGGGGGTGACGGTAGAGCTTTCTTGTCACAGCATGGAGCAGCTTATTGATGAGGAAAAATTCAGGGTACAAGAGCCTACTTTGGAAAGCTTAAATACCTGGTTAAGATATATATTTGGCCAAGTTTCTTAGACTTTTTGATTCGTACTGTGCGAGACAACAAGGGGGTGGAGAGAAGAGAGCTCAATTTCTAGTCCTGTTGCATTGAAAACCTGGCAGTGATTTGTTTTCCATCTGTTTTACTTCAATACTTGCTGATGTTCATGAATATTTGTATTTGCTTGTGCTTGTTTGATTCATCAACTCTCCATTTACATTAAGATAGGGAATCTTAAACCTGTAGATGGGATTAGCCTTTTAATCGTGTTGTACTTCTAAGTGTTGTTAATTGAAAAAAAAAAAAAAATCAATGCAAAAAGGACAACCTGTTGAGTTACATGAGTCGTAGAGCTATGGTGCCTGTGGTTTCAGGCTCATACAGTTTCAGTGATTTCTTGGCTTACACTGTGGAAATGGTACAGGAAGCATGTATAATACAAAAATCTTCATTTTTAAAAAAGCAGTTTTCAAAATCTTAAGACACTTTTGAAACATTCACCTTGTCACAAAGTCAGACCTTTTGTGCATTTGAAAATGAGTCTGAATGAGTCTCAGAAATCATCCCTTGTGCTTGATAATTTAGTTCAGCATCACCATTGTAAGCTATAGACTGATGCTCTTGCATATCTTGGATGCAAATACCAACTGCCAAGAGTCAGGGAACAGCAAGAGCGGGCTGCTCCCCAGGAAGGCAAGTCAAGGGTGGAAGGTGATGGGCAAGGCAGGTGGGGGAAGTCACCTCACTGACAAGGCACAGTCCCATGGTACCCAAGCCAGGAGAAGAGAGCAGGTCCATGATGGTAGACAGGGTCAGCAGTGATGACCAGACAACTCTGCAGTGCTGACTTCAGTTCAAGGTCAAGTCAGGGCCAAGATCTGCCAGGTACATCACTGGGCACAGGCATCTCTGAAACTTAGCTGAAGCAAGGACCAAAATTGATAGCCTGAGCTTAATTTCAGCTCCTGAGTGATGGGGTAGGACCTGGCCTCCACTTCTCCCAGCTCCTTTTTGCCCAGCTCTTCCTGCTGCATCTGATCCCAGCTTAGACCTGCAGCATGTCGGATCTGCCCATCTGCACGGGTAGCAGGTAGAGGGGTCTGCAAAGCCTGATGAGTGTGTGCGGGGCCCTGACACTGGAGCTAGCAGAATTATAAATTGAAATACACTTTGAATAGGTGCGACACCTAATCCCTATGAAGAGGAACTGGTAAGTGTGCGTTGAAGCCAGATGTATTAAGTATTACATTAGGTTAACTTCCATACAATGAAGATGGTGGTTATAGCCATGGCTTTCTTTTGAGGCAACGTTAATATTTTCCGTAAAGGTCAAGCATGCCTAGTGGAAATGTGTTGGGGTTTTTTTTTTGTTTTTTTTTTTTTTTTTTTGAAATAGTGTAATTGGAAGGAGCTGTGAAAGGATAATGGTATCTGTAGTCAGTAGAAGCCAAGATTTTACCTTCTTAGAAATTGCAAGCCTGGGACCTAGTGTTAAAGCCATGTTGTTTTGTGGAGCATCACAGTTATGAACTTCAGCACAGTTTTAATTTCAACTGTAAAAATATGCGATATTTGTTAAAACTGAGTTTGTAGTGTTAATTATAATGTGTACTTCACAATAGCTTTCTAGACTTCCTATGTTTGTATCACAGGAAATATAGTTTATATTAAATTGTTGAATAATACAGAATTTTCCTAGTATGTTTGCTGCTGTTATCCAATTTATTATGGGTTTATTATGAATATAATATGTTAGTGACATAATATAAAATATTGTATCTGAAAGCTTTGAAAAGTCAATTCAAATTAGACTTATTTTTTCTTTAAACAGATGTTCCGAAGTGCATTAGTGAAAATGTTTGAAGCTAAAGACTTAGACTGTGTGTTCCTAGAAACAAACATGAGTATGAAGAAACGGTATCACATGGTATATGAATGCGTTCCTGTTCCAAAAGAAGTAGGAGATACAGCTCCAATCTACTTTAAGGTAGATGAAAATGTTTTTTCTTAGGTCATTTGAATGTATTTATCATAATTCTTCTATTTCTGGAGAACATTTTGATATTCAAGTACTATTTTTGAAAAGATGGATTCTTTGATCCTACTTCTTGATCCGTTCTTTGATCGTATTCCTTGATCTTAAAACAAGCCCTGTGAGGTAATTCTGTTTTTCAAGTAGTCAGTGGAAGAGCTGTATGTCACTGTGCAGTTGCCTCAAGTCTGACTGCACTGACAAATACTGGAAGAAAATGAGAGAATTGTAATTTCTTGAAGTGCTGTAAGGATTGCAATACTTCTCACTTAAGTCTTGTAGTATAAACTTAGAACCCCATACATGTGCCTTGGTAAGCATAAAATGAGAAAATAATGTCAGCAGTTTTAAGAAATACCAATATATGTTTCCTCCCCATCTTAGCTCAGTAAGAACAAATGTTGCATGTGTCTTAGGTCTCTCATGAACATTAGACAGCATGGCAGATATTTCTTCTATACCTTTTCTGATCTCTTTCCCCTGACGCTGTAAGGGAAGGCTCGTTGAAGCTTTTGCTTGAAACGGAGGCCTTTCAACTTTCAACTGGATCGAGATTTTCCTTTAAATTATTTTATTTGTTCTTTGAAACATTATTTTTGTTTTCTGGAAATAGCATGATTGTTTTTTGATGAAGTGGAGCAGTTAGTAGGATGAACAGTGATGCAGTAACTTTTACCACATTTGAAACCCTCTACCTGATTGATTTCATTGCTGCGCTTCAAGTGCTGGTAAAACGTGTGTTTCAGCTGAATACTAAAGGAAAGACAAAATGCAAGATTTAATGCAATGTCATTGGCATAAAACTTCCTTTCAGAAGTTGCCACCATTAAAATACACAGCAAATGAAATTTAAAAGGTACCTGCGCAACACTAGACTCAATTCCATGCTATGGAGGATACAGAGGCAGCTTTAAAGGTTTTCAAGCACAATCAGCCTTCTAAGCTGGATTCTCCTCTTATCATTTAAAAAAGAAAAAAGGCTAATATAGTGCAAAGAATTCATAAGAGTTTTTGTATAAGCTTAGTAAAGAGAATGTGACCTTTTAGTTGAAACTTGTTAGAGATAATTTGTGTCAGGCAAAAGGTAAAGTTCAAAAAAAAAAAAAAAAAGGAACAGAATTAAGTGAGTTTGAAGTTATTATATGATGCCTTCATAAAGTATGTAAGTTGTGGAAATCAGAAGAGTTCCCAAAAATAAAGTTACTTTGTTAAGAAATAATTTGTACTTACAGTGGAATATGCTTCACTACATTTAAAAGTTAATTCTTTGCTTGCTGTATGAAGGACTATTTTCACATTCAGATAAAATGATTTTACAGAAAGCTATAATGGAGTCTGATGAGGAGTGGTCCATGAACAAGAAGTTAATTGACCTTTCTTCAAAAGATGTTCGGAAATCTGTAAGTAATGAAATCTATTGAACGCTGAATTTCTCAGCAAATTCTTCTCATCTTTTTTCATTGTTAACTGTTTCCAAGAGAGAAGAAAGGGAACACAATTAGATTAGTGCATCAGGAGATGGCTTAGGTACAATGAGAATTAAGAGTCTGACTGAACTCCTAACTGACATTAGGGAAAAGATTCCCATTTATTTCAACAATTGGTGGACTGAGCTGCAAGCATTGACTGAGAACAAAGCTGGTACTATGAGAACATGTACCAGCATAATTTTCTTGATTAACTTTAAGAATTAAGATAGATCAAAGATTTTCAAATTACTTTCCTGAAAAAATATGATGTGTCTTTTTCGTTGCCCTAGAACAGCCATTTGTGTTGCTAAGTTTATGAAGCGAAAATATAAATAGCATTATTTTTTTCTAAAACAAGGTAACAGTACTCTGTCTCCTGGATACCAAACTGAAACATCTTTGTATATACAAATCTTAAAGGAATAATGCTGAAACTGCTAGTTTCAAAGATTGTTCCATCTTTTTAATATTAAACTCAAAGATGTGCGATATATAGACTTTACCACAAGAAGTTTACTACTATGTAGTAATAATACTTAATTTCTGAAAGTGTCTTTTAGTAAATATGGCACCTTTGCACTGAAAAAAATTCTAGTTTAGGAGAAAGGGGAGATGGGTTTTAATAATGAGACATGAAGGCTGATGTGACAAGGAGAGGGAGACTAAATGCAGAAGAGTAGGTGATTGCGTGAGTGCATAGTAGGAAAGATTTTGTATATTGTGATGGCTGTTGAACTAAACCAGCAGTTGTAGCAAATATAACAAAAAGACAAAATTTATTCTGCCACATAAGCTGAAATGTCATATAAATGTAATGGGAGTGAATTATGGGTCACCTTATTCAAAGTGGTGAGGCTTCACCTGGAAAATTTGGGTCTGATTTTTGGCACAGTTAAGAGAGTTACAGAAGAGAGCGTAGGTTAGAAACTGGTTTAGGGGTTGTGCAGTCTAGGAAGGAAAAGACTGAAATGGGATGTGATGGTAGTTTTCTGTGTATAGGAGATTATTATAAGGAAGATCATGCTTGACCAATCTGATTTCCTTCTACGACAAAGTGACCTGCGTAGTAGATGAGGGAAAGGCTGTGGATGTAGTCGGTCTAGACTTTAGTAAAGCATCTGACATGGACTCCCACAGCATTCTCCTAAATAAATTGACTGCTCGCAGCTTAGATAGGTGGACTCTT